ACTGTACTCCCAGTTTTAACCGGAAGATTGATCTCCCACCGCAATATACAATACTTTACGGCCTCACTCGCTGATATGTTTCTGGGTTTTATTTTTATTTTTGGTTTCAATTTTTATCTACATGTTATGCCTTTATGTCTAATTTTATCTCCGTTTTTTGCCTCTATTTCTCACACAGAGTTCGTTTTATTTGTAACTATGCAAATTCCCTTTCCAATCTTCAGTATGTAAAATTCCTTATTTCCTTGCGCGTATATATGTAAATATTTTTGCTTATAAATATGGCACTTCTCTGTCTACACTTGTATAAGACCTGAAGAAGGGCAGTTGCTGCCTGAAAGCTCGTCATGTTCTATTAAAGAATCTTACCACGTTACCCTGTTTTTCCTTTTGAATGTTTATATTTTGAAATTCATTCTTATACTATTTATAATAAATATGTTTATATATTTAATGCAATACTTCGCAGTTCGTAATTACCTATGTATATTTAGTTTATTTTATATTTCGTTCTTTCAGAGTGTAAATGAAGACAAAAATAAGAATAAAAAGGGAGAAAGGTGCACCCCAGATGAATGTTTTAGCTTACTTCACATGGAGTCTCAAAACAAAACAGCGTCTCTCAAGATGGCGGGTCTTTAAAAGGCCAAGGACGTCGTTACGGTCTTTAACAATTATATCCTTCTGGGAGATTCTATTTTGATCAGTGACATCCTGAGTTGAGCTTTAAAGTCTCTTCTTTTTCAACCACTTTAGCCATTCTTTATTGAAATCTCACGTGATACTACTTCATACTCTGGATTACTCAATAATTTATTATCTTAAAGATAGAGGTTGACTGACCGGTTTTATATTTCTTTAAAAATTAGACACTTCGGTCAGTTAAAGTTTTATTTTCTCAACGTTTCAACAAAAATATTTTGTCTTCGTCAGGAGAAATAAATAAAAATTAGCATTTAGCAAGGCGTTTAGAGAACAATTTTTTAATGCCTTGCCAAATGCTTTATTTTTTATTTATTTCTATTAACGAAGACACATATTTTTGTTGAAACGTTGAGAAAATAAAACTGTAACTGGACTAAGGGTCTATTTTTTAAAGAAATAATTTATTATCAAAACAAATTTATTCATGTTTATTCTAACTATGCATGTCCGGGATAATCAAAAAATAATTATTACTGACGGACGAAACCATGGCAATATCGGCCTTAATTCTGTTGAACAACCTCATTTGCTTTCTATCTGCTTGAAAAACATTATCATTGGCCTTCTATCTGCTTGAACAACATCATCATTGACTTTCTATCTGCTTGAACAACATCATCATTGACTTTCTATCTGCTTGAACAACATCATCATTGACTTTCTATCTGCTTGAACAACATCATCATTGGTCTTCTATCTGCTTAAACAACATCATAATTGGCCATCTATCTGCTTGAACAACATCATCATTTTCTTCTATCTGCTTGAAAAATATCATCATTGGCCTTCTATCTGCTTGAACAACACCATCATTTGCCTTCTATCTGCTTGAACAACATCATCATTGGCCTTCTATCTACTTGAACAATATCATCATTGGTCTTCTATCTGCTTGGACAACATCATCATTGGCCTTATATCTGCTTGAGCAACATCATCATTGACATTCTATCTGCTTTAACAACATCAAAATGATCTTCTATCTGCTTTAACATCATCATTGGCCTTCTATCTGCATGAACAACATCACATTGACCTTCTATCTGCTTAAACATTACATTGGCCTTCTATCTGCTTAAACAACAGCATCATTGGCCTTCTATCTGCTTTAACAACACATTGGCCTTCTATCTGCTTTAACATCACATTGGTCTTCTATCTGTTTAAACATCAGCATCATTGGCTTTCTATATGCTTAAACAACATCATCATTGACCTTTTATCTGCTTAAACAACATCATCATTGACCTTCTATCTGCTTGAACAATATCATTATTGGCCTTCTTTCTGCTTGAACAATATCATCATTGGTCTTCCATCTGCTTGAACAACATCATCATTGACCTTTTATCTGCTTAAACAATATCATCATTGGCCTTGTAACTACTTGAACAATATCATCATTGGCCTTTCATCTGCTTGAACAACATCGTCATTGGCCTTCTATCTGATTGAACAACATCATCATTGGCCTTCTACCTGCTTAAATAATATCATCATTGAGCTTCTATCTGCTTAAACAACATCATCATCGGCCTTCTATCTGTTTGAACAACATCATCATTGTCCTTCTATCTGCTTGAACAACATCATCATTGACCTTCTATCTGCTTGAACAACCACATCAACGGCCTTCGATCTGCTTGAACCACATCGTCATTGGTCTTCTATCTGTTTGAACAACATCATCATTGGCCTTCTACCTGCTTAAATAATATCATCATTGACCTTCTATCTGCTTAAACAACATCATCATCGGCCTTCTATCTGTTTGAACAACATCATCATCGTCCTTCTATCTGCTTGAACAACATCATCATTGGCCTTCTATCTGCTTGAACAACCACATCAACGGCCTTCGATCTGCTTGAACCACATCGTCATTGGTCTTCTATCTGTTTGAACAACATCATCATTGGCCTTCTATCTGCTTGAAGAACATCATCATTGGTCTTCTATCTGCTCAACCAACATCATCATTGACCTTCTATTTGCTTGAACCACATCATCATTGATCTTCTATCTGCTTGAACAACATCATCATTGGTCTTCTATCTGCTTAAACAACATCATCATTGACCTTCTATCTGCTTGAACAACCACATCAACGGCCTTCTATCTGCTTGAACAACATCGTCATTGGTCTTCTATCTGCTTGAACAACATCACATTGGCCTTCTTTCTGCTTTAACAACACCTTGGCCTTCTATCTGCTTAAACAACAGCATCATTGGCCTTCTATCTGCTTAAACAACATCATCATTGACTTTTTATCTGCTTAAACAACATCATCATTGGCCTTCTATCTACTTGAACAGCATCATCATAGCCTATCTGCTTGAACAACATCATCATTGGCCTTCTATCTGCTTGAACAACATCATCATTGGCCTTCTATCTGCTTGAACAACATCATCATTGGCCTTCTATCTGCTTGAACAACATCATCATTGGCCTTCTATCTGCTTGAACAACATCATCATTGGCCTTCTATTGCTTAAAAAACATCATCATTGGCCTTCTATCTGCTTTAACAACATTATCATTGGCCTTATATCTGATTGAACAACACCATCATTGGCCTTCTATCTGCTTGAAAAACATCTTCATTGGCCTTCTATCTGCTTAAACAACATCATCATCGGCCTTCTATCTGCTTGAACAACTCCATCATTGGCCTTCTATCTGCTTGAACAACCACATCAACGGCCTTCTATCTGCTTGAACAACATCTTCATTGGTCTTCTATCTGCTTGAACAACATCATCATTGGCCTTCTATCTACTTAAACAACATCATCAATGACCTTCTATCTGTTTGAACAACAGCAACATTGGCCTTCTATCTGCTTGAACAACATCGTCATTGGCCTTTTATCTGCTTGAACAACACCGTCTTTGACCTTCTATCTGATTGAACAACATTATCATTGGCCTTCTACCTGCTTAAATAACATCATCATTGGCCTTCTATCAGCTTAAACTACATCATAATTAGCCTACTGTCTGCTTGAACAACATCATTGGCCTTCTATCTGCTCAAACAACATCATCATTGGCCTTCTATCTGCTTAAACAACATCATCATTGGCCTTTTATATGCTTAAACAACATCATCATTGGCCTTCTATCTGCTTGAACAACATCACAATGACCTTCTATCTGCTTAAACATCACATTGGCCTTTAATCTGCTTAAACATCATACTGGCCTTCTATCTGCTTAAACAACAGCATCATTGGCCTTCTATCTA